GCGTTGACTCTGAGCCTCTGCGGTGTCCAAGCCTCAACTTCGAGCTCTGGCCCTGCCGTGGACTCTGAGCCTCTGGTCTGGTCCCGGTCTCAGTCCTGCTCTGGTCCCAGTCTGGTCCTGGTTTCAGTCCTGGTCTCAGTCATGGTCTGGTCCCGGTCTGGTCTCGGTCTCAGTCTTGGTCTGGTCCTGGTCCCAGACCTGGATCAGTCCTGGTTCAGTCCGTTATCAAATTTTTTCCTTTTTTCATTTAAACACAAAATCGAAAAACTTAAAAAACAAATCATTTTGTTTTGAAAATTGACTGAAACTGAATTCAAACAGGACTAAAACAGGTCTAAACCAGGACTAAAACAGGACTAAAACTAAAAACAGGTCTAAACCAGGACTAAACCAGGACTAAACCAGGACTAAACTGGGGCTAAACCAGGTCTAAAACAGGACTAAACCAGGAAACTAAACCAGGACTAAACCAGGACTAAACCAGGACTAAACTAAACCAGGACTAAAACCAGGACTAAAACCAGGTCTAAACCAGGACAGGACTAAACCAGGATTTAAACAACTAGACAAAACCAGGACTAAACCAGGACTAAACCAGGACTAAACCAGGACTGTTCTATATTGATCTATGACAAAACAAATTACAGTAAAACAGAACTAAACCAGGGTAAAAATTGATTCTAAACTGGATTAAACCGAGTCCTCACAGCTGATTGGACGTGATCAGATGTGATGAGTCGTGTGTTACCGTGGAGACGTGTCCCGTACGCACAGAGCCGACTCGACAGTTCTGTGCGCCGGTCAAACTGTTTACAGCCTGTGTCCTTGGTCGGGTCCCTGGAGGAGCTGCAGGGCCCACACACGGACCAGGACCAGGACCAGGACCAGGACCGGGACCAGGGGACCAGGACCAGGACCAGGACCAGGACCAGGACCAGGAGGCAGAGGCTCGGGCCCCTGGGCACCGAGCAGATCTGCTGACTCACAACTCTGCCCCCGACCTCACAAAAGAACACACAACAACACACAACAACACAACACACACACACAACAACACACAACACACAACACAACACACAACAACACACACAACACACACACAACAACACAACAACACACACACACACAACACACACACAACACACACACACACACAACACACAACACACAACAACACACAACAACACAACAACAACACACACACAACACAACAACAAACAACACACAACACACAACACACACAACAACACAACACACACAACAACACAACAACACACAACACACAACAACACACACACACACAACAACACACACAACAACAACACACAACACACACACAACAACACACAACACAACAACAACACACAACACAACACACAACAACACAACACACACACAACACACACACACACAACAACACACAACAACAACAACACACAACACACAACACACAACAACACAACACACAACACACACAACACAACACACAACACACAACACACAACAACAACAACACAACAACACACAACCTGCCGACATCACCCAACTTTTTTCTACAGGAGACATGTGCAGTAGAGTGAAGTAATCAGAGTACAAATGATGAGTAACTGTATTTAGTTACAGTTACTGTTTCAGTGAGTGGTAATTAGATTACAGTTACTTTGCTGAAGTAAATGTTATTTACATAAGTGTTATGTAAATGGATACACAGAGGGATTTTACTGTTTTCACATTTTGGGCTAAATCCCCCCTTTTTTTTTTTGGTAATTCCACTCATTGCCGGAAACTAAACCAGGTCCAAACTAGGACTAAACCAGGTCTAAACCAGGTCTAAACCAGGTCTAAACCAGGATTTAACAGGACTAAATCCTGCTGTGTGGACGTGTTTCTTCTTCTTCTATCAATAATATTTTTAATTTGGTTCAGTAAAATCTGGACTTTTTATTTTCTTTTATCAGACAAAACTTCTTATGTGAAGATTTCCTCGTCTTTGCTTCTCTACAGAAAATCAAGTAATCCAAAGTAATCAGATTACATTACTCACTTTAAGCAATATAATGGATTATGTTACAAACTACATTCTGGGGTGTGTAATCTGTAATCTGTAGGGGATTACATTTTAAAAGTAACATTTCCAACACTGAATATAAATCACACTGGAGTAAAAGTCGCAGGAAACACCCACAACATGAACAAAAGCTCAACTTATAGTCTGAAAAATACAGTATTCATTAGTTTTACTGACCTCCCGTCTTTATTAAAAACTATCGGCCTGTAAAACGTTGAACGTCTGAAACCAAACAATTTCCATAAAAACAGTGAAACTTCTCACACACAGAGATAAAATTGTGTTATGTAACTGTTATTTCTCCTTCACAGCTCGACTCGACAGCTCCGTGTGAAGAAAACTTCCAACGTTATGAGACATTATTACATCAAATTAAAATCCCGACCAGGAGATTTGCTGAAGCTTTAACATTTCCAGCTCATTTTTCAGGATCTGCTCCGATATTAGATTCCACCAGACTCTGAAAATATGTTTAAATCCATTTTGTATTTTTTTTCCTTGAGTTCTCAAAGCTGAATCATGCTGTTTGTTAATATGTGCATTGTGTCTCCATGGTAACAGCTGAACATTGCATATATACGCACATGCAGACCCCCCCAGCGCGATGTCACTCTAAAGTGTTTATACAGACGTCTTTACAGTTTCATACAACCATAAATTTGCCAGAATTGTTACATCAGCAGCAGAAGAGGAGCGCAAAAATATCAAAATATCGTGACACTAGATTTGGACAGACGGTATCGTTAAGTATCGGAAAGAGAATTATTTTTGTATCTTTTGGTAAATATTTTTGTGACTGCACTATAGTTTTGTTCAGCTTTTCTTTTTTTTTCATAATTTCTGTGATATTTTGAACAATCTTCATCAGCTGAACAAACATCAACACAACAAATTTATAAAGACAAATAAAAACTCGAATATTTAACAAAAATGACAACCCAAGAATAAGCCAAACGAACCAGAAAGGAGCCAAAATATAACAATAATTAAAACAAAATATTGGAAGGAAACTTGTTTATGCGACACACCTGACAAATTCACTGTTTTGATGATTAAAATCAGTGCTTTTCATAAGAACGCTGCACAAATCATGGTTTAACAAAGATATTGTTGCTAAAATGTATTTGTTTTTTCTTCAAAATATGTTTCATTCAGTCAACCCACAACACAGAGAACAAGAAAAAGTTTCTGTTTCAGTGTGCGGAGTTAAACTGTGAAATAGTTTAAAGGAGTTTTACAGCACTGCCAACGAATTTACCATTTTAAAGTATTAATCAAACAACGGCTTTAAGTTGGAAGAAGGACGATAATTACACTTGAGGTGAGTAGAAGTGAAATTGTATTGTAAAAAAAGCACTTCATGGCACAAATAGTTTATAGTGCTACGATTATTGTTTGTAACGAGTCAATACAGAAAGTGTTTTTCATCATTATTAGTAGTAGTGTTACTGTTAGAGGTGGGAGAGGTGTTCTTGTTTGTTTGTTTGTTTGTTTGTTTGTTTGTTTTCTATTTTTTCACCTCGATTGTTAAGTTTGTGGCCACACCGGCTTCTCAAACCCTGATCCCGTCAGATCTCAGAAGGTCAGAGGTCGGGCTTGGTTAGTTCTTGGATGGAGACTCTGGGAAAATCAGGAGCCACAGGAGGAGCCAGACACACACAAAAAAAACTGTTGTTGTGTCCTTAGGCAAGACACTTCACCCACATTGCCTTAATATGAAAGTGTGTGTGTGTGTGTGTGTGTGTGTGTGCGTGTGTGTGTGTGTGTGTGTGTGTGCGCGTGTGTGTGTGTGTGTGTGTGTGTGTGTGTTGGTGGTGGTCGGAGGGACCGATGGTGCAGATTGGCAGCCTCGCTTCCGTCAGTTTGTCCCAGGGCAACTGTGGCTACAATAGTAGTTTACCACCACTGGGTCTGGAGTGAATGAATAATGATCTGTAAAGATGCACTGGTAACACTTTATAATAACTACACCTTATTTAGCCTTAATAAAGCATGAACAAAGACTTAATTAATAATGATTCACGCTTAGTAAATGTTTAATAAAGGATAATTAGTCTTCACTTTAGAAAAGCTCTCAAAAAGACTTAACTAACAGATAACAGCTGCCTGAATGATCATTGCACTACATTATTAGTAAATCATTATCTCACAGTTTACTAATGATTAATAAATGCTTAAATGGTTAGTTCATGAGTAATTAAGTATGAAATAATTATGAGTAACTATTTACAGCACAGGCAAATTAAGTGCAAGTGCTAATTAAGGTAGTAATTAAGTAGTTACTAAGTGTGAGTCATTATTAATTAAGTCTTTGTTCATTATTAATTAAGCCTTTGTTCATGCTTTATTAAGGCTAAATAAGGTGTAGTTATTATAAAGTGTTACCGATGCATTATATATGTTGAAGACACATGTTCTATCTGCAACATATTAATTATCGCATCGATCCCCATATTGTGATAATATCGTATCGTATCGTATCGAATCATGAGGGACCCTGTGATTCTCAGCCTTAACCAGCAGTACGGACGTAACAATAAAATATCGTGATTCAAGGTTTCACAATAATATCATGGATCATCACAATAAATCGAACTACAAGACTCCAATAAAATAACAGACAGAACTACAAAGACCATGATCCTTTGCTCCGTTTCAGTGCAGACGACAAGAAGAAATCACTGTTCTAACACTTTTAAATCATAGTTTTTTGGGTCGTTTTAAAAGGAAAAAGCAAAAGTAGAGAACACAGCACAGTTCACACCTCCACAAAATATCACAATAAATATCGAATCATGAGAAGCGTATCGTGAAAACATCGTTCAGAAACATTTGGAAACCGTTACATCCCTGATCAGCAGCAAAGCCACGTCCATAAACCGCACATTAAGACTGTTTTTGCGTTTCAGTTCGATGGAAACGTGTGACTCACCCGTCTCCGTGGCGCACCAGGATGGCGCGGTACAGCTGGTGCTCGGGGCTGTCGGCTCCGCGGGCGCAGGGCTGGAGGAAGGGGTGCAGCGCCGCCAGGACGAAACCCTGCTGGTACAGGTCCTGGAGCTGAGCGGGCACCTCCCTCACCGACGACAGACGAAGAGTCGACGTCCCACCTGAACGAGAACGAGAAGGTCAGGAAATATACATCTGTGTGACCACAACATATCATCACAACTCTGCTCAAACTGTGAGAGATACAGGACTACATTCATGGTATAATACTCCCTACAACTGTACAACAACTCACCCTTATGTAACAGATAATACTCCCTACAACTGTACAACAACTCGCCCTTATGTAACAGATAATACTCCCTACAACAACTCGCCCTTATGTAACAGATAATACTCCCTACAACAACTCGCCCTTATGTAACAGATAATACTCCCTACAACTACAACAACTCACCCTTATGTAACAGATAATACTCCCTACAACTGTACAACAACTCGCCCTTATGTAACAGATAATACTCCCTACAACTGTACAACAACTCGCCCTTATGTAACAGATAATACTCCCTACAACTGTACGACAACTCGCCCTTATGTAACAGATAATACTCCCTACAACTGTACAACAACTCGTCCTTATGATTGTCCTGTTAATCAACATATATTTTTTGCACCTCTTATATAACTGAGATATATTTTTGTTATTTTATTTCTAAATTTATTTTATTTTTCGTATACATTTTTAGAATTATGTCTTATTTGACGCCTGTCTCTTGCTACTTATTTTTTTTAGAGTTTATTATTACTTAATTTTATTATAATATATTGTGATGTGTCCAAATAATTTCTTTTGTGCATCAATAAAATTTATCTTAGTCTAAGATTTTTTTTTTCTCTCAATAAAATCTTAAAGGGACCATTTGATGCTATTTTCTGATTTATGTTCTGTTCTGTTGTGTTTTGTTTCATTCACACATGTTTAACATAAAAAACTGAGTTCTTCTCTCACACAGAAAACACTCTGTTCCACCTTGTGATGTCATCATGTGGTGATACAGGAAGTGCTCCACTGTGTTTTTAAACTACACACACACGCTCCCTAGAATCATCTGGAAGATTTCAGCCCTGGAATTGCCGATCTCTGCTAAATTTGAAGTAAAAGGAGCTGTTAACATGAAAAATGAAAAGTACCACTTCGTGACATCACAAGTTGGAATGGAGCATTTTGAGCTTTGGAGATGTAGACAGACTAAAGGGTTACGCAAACACGTGTGAATGAAACAAAACACAACTCACGAATAAAAGCTGTAATATTGGAGCTTTAACTGTCCAAGTATCAGGATTAAACCAGTTTTTAGGACATTTTCATCTTTCCAGTGTTAGATTAATAACTCTCTTCCTTTTAAACTCTGTGAAAATCCATATAAAACAGTTTGATAGACGGAGTATTTCTCAGATCTGCTGCTCTGTTCGATCTGTGTGATGTTAGTTGGTCGTAAACGTCAGGAGAAGCTCTGGTTTTACTCATTTGGACGTGAAAAACCAACATTGTGTTTCATTTATTTGCACTCGGGCTTCTGGAAAACATTCAGAGAGTTCACAGTCTGTGGTGCACGTGTGAACCTGCAGGTGTTCAGACCAGCTCAAGCTCTGCCCAACAGCTGCAGGGTCCGGACAACTCCTCTAAATCAGACCAGAGACACTAAACTCACAACAGACTGAACCGAACTCACGTCAGGCCGAACTGAACTCACGTCAGACTGAACCGAACTCAACTCATGTCAGTCCAAACTGAAACTCACGTCAGACTGAACTGAACTCACATCAGGCCGAACTCAACTCACGTCAGGCTGAACTCAACTCACATCAGGCTGAACTCAACTCACATCAGGCTGAACTCAACTCACGTCAGGCTGAACTCAACTCACGTCAGGCTGAACTCAACTCACATCAGGCTGAACTCAACTCACGTCAGGCCGAACTCAGTCAGACTGAACTCACATCATGTGTGTCGGTTTGTTTGTGTTGCTTTGTGTTGTTTTGTGTCTGTTTGTGTTCGTTTGTCTTGGATTGTGTTGCTTTGCTTTGTGTTGTTGTGTGTTGTTGTGTGTTGTTCTGTGTTGTTGTGTGTCGTTGTGTGTCGTTGTGTGTTGTTGTGTGTCGTTGTGTGTCGTTGTGTGTGTTGTGTGTGTTGTGTGTTGTGTGTTGTTGTGTTGTTGTGTTGTGTGTGTGTTGTGTGTGTGTTGTGTGTTGTGTGTGTGTGTGTTGTGTTGTTGTGTTGTGTGTTGTGTGTGTGTGTTGTTGTGTTGTTGTGTTGTGTTGTTGTGTGTTGTTGTGTTGTGTGTGTTGTGTTGTTGTGTGTGTTGTGTGTGTTGTTGTTGTGTGTGTTGTGTTGTTGTTGTGTGTTGTGTGTGTGTTGTTGTGTGATTGTGTGTGTGTGTTGTTGTGTTGTGTTGTTGTTGTTGTGTTGTGTGTGTTGTTGTGTGTTGTTGTGTTGTTGTGTGTGTTGTGTGTTGTGTGTTGTGTTGTTGTGTGTTGTGTGTCGTTGTGTGTGTTGTGTGTGTTTGTGTGTTGTGTTGTTGTGTTGTTGTTGTTGTGTGTTGTGTGTTGTTGTGTGTGTGTTGTGTGTTGTGTGTGTGTGTGTTGTGTTTGTGTGTG